GGTGGCCCACCATCTACTTTTAAAGTCATAGTTGCCCTTACATCTCTGCCTTCATGATTCAAGGGTATCAACCATTATGGTATGCATGTCTGAGTTTACCTGAAAGAAACCCTTGAAGATTTTATAATAATGATAATCCCAATGCATTCAGTCTTTTCATGATCCCTACAAGATAAGTGGGTAAAGAGGAAGTTAGAAGGTTACTGTGTTTCATATAAAAAATTCAAGATTTTATTCTATAAAACCCACCAATATATTAACAGAAAAAGAAGTAGTAGAAATACAAATGAATACCTGCAGTGAAGCTGGAGGTAAGAATATTTAGGATAACAAACAGTCTACAAGAGATACAAAGAGAACTTAGCACAGCCATAGCACAAAGAAAGCAAAGACATGGGGAGAAATTCAAGAGAGATTTCTGAGGTAGGCTCACTAGAATATAGAACTGATTAGATGTAGGAAACAATGGGAGTAAATGATGAATACAAGAGTGTTCATGTAACCAACTATGTAGTTAAAGGTTTTATTAACTACTAAATGGGGATGGCAGGAAGAGGAATTGTTTTGGGGGCAGATGTCAGTGATTATGTTGACCATTTGCTCATTGCTCCTGGGTCTATGTCCTTCTGTTGCACTCAGTGTCACAGAGAACTACATTACTCAGGCTCCCTAGTTTCCAGATAGCTTTGGGCAATGGCAGGTGTGGGTAAAAGACTGGAGATATGAAGGTTAGGAGAATCCAGGGTGTTTTTTCCTCTGTTTGCCTCTGGCAGCATTTCTCAGGGTGACCAGATTTACATTTTAGCTTCCTCCTACCAGATAAGCTTTCTTTCATTCCATCTTTTTCTGTGTTCGCAGCTCTAGCTTCAGCTGTAGTTCTAGCTTGAGCTGGGTGGCCTTGCCTTCTAGATTCTGGAAACTCAATCTCTTCCTGTTATCAGGAAGAGGTTGCCCTAGGGGTAATAGTGGCTTCCTCCTATTATTAATCTTTGGGTGGTCTTGTCATTCCCACTTCAGCTTCCCACCTCCTTTATTACCTGTATAACCAATTATCACTGTTAAACTCCCTGTTTGAAATATGTTGACTAGTTTATTTCCTTGACTGGAGCCTGACTGAGGTAGTAACAAATTCAGTTTTAGATACACTGAGCTTGAGGGCAGTGTGGGCTCCCTAGTCGATATCTCTATTTGAGGATTGGAAATTGTTAACGAAGACCTGGAGACCAATATGTGTTTTGGAAACCAAGAGCATACAGATGGTATGTGAAGCCATAAGATCATATTTCCCAAGCAAAATGAGGAAATGAGTAAAAGATTAAACAGTAAGTTCACCTATGAAACTTCAGTGTTTTTAATTTAGGCCAAGAAAGAACTTGAAAAGACTAAGAAGAAGTACAATGCCCTGGTTAAGATTGTCATAGAAGCCAAATGAGAAATGAAATTCCTAGAGAAAAGGGCACAACAAAGTTAAACTTGGTGGAAAGAGCAGACAGGACACATACAAAAAGATCAAGGCAAATGTCCTCCTTGTGTTTAGCAAGGGGAACATCACTGCTCCCTTTGTCAGAACAATGATAGTGTGGTGGTGTGGGAAGAAATCGCCGAGAAGGGAACAAGCCATTAATGAACAAACGTTTTCAGAAATGTGGACCGTGAAGACTTTGATGAAATGGTGACTTGAGAAGAGGAAGGGCTGAAGAAATTCTAGAAGTGGATACTGAAGATCCCCCAAAGTAACAGGAAGGGGGTCAGATGCATAAGTGAAATAGTTATTCCTTTTGAAAGAAGAGGGAAGATGATGAGATTGGTCAAGATATATACATTCACAGGGTTACTAATTCTACCTTGTCTAATGATATTATCAAGTAATATCTACTATGCACAAACTTCTCTAACATGAACAGATGATGCCCTTTTCTTTCTCTTCACAGCCCTCCTTTAAAGAAAAAAATATGAAGCTGGAGGAGGAATCACACATGACCTTTATAGGAGTCACACACTTGAGGCTAAGTGCTATCTTTTCTCCACATGTTTCTAGCAAAACATGAAAATTCCATGCATACAATTATTGGTATTAGCATCTTGAAAAAGAACAAAGACATTCATAAAAATGGCTTTTCCTAAGTGCTTGTGTCAAACTTCTGTAATAAGAACACTTAAGATTCTCTTAGAAACTTTCAAATATGCAATAGCATTAGTAACTGTAGTCGCCATGTTATACATTGCCTTCCCAATGATATATTTGTTGTGTAACTTTCTACCTTTTGACTCCCTTCACCCATTTTCCCTACCTAAACTTAATTGACAAAGTTGTGATTCCATCATTTACTTTTACAGATGCTAAGCTCCATGAAAATATTGGAGGGGGGAACCAGTTTCATATGGTCTATATTTATATACATCATATAAATATAGGAATGGTAAAGCTACTTATAGAAAACCACGAGATTTTCTTTGTATTCCCAGAAAGCTATAAATGATACTGTAGTAAGAATCTTTTATTTACAATTGGAAGATTATATATCAGCTGTAAATCAATTCCCATAAGAATAAAAATTGGGGCAGGGATGCCTGGGTGGCTCAGTCAGTTAAGCATCTGACATCAGCTCAGGTCATGATCTTGTGGTTTGTGAGTTCGAGCCCCACATCCGGCTCTGTGCTGACAGCTCAGAGCCTGGAGCCTGCTTTGGATTCTGTGTCTCCCTCTCTTTCTGCCCCTCCCCTGCTCACGGTCTGTCTCTGTCTCTCAATAATAAATGTTTAAAAAAATTTTTTTAATAAAAAATAAAAATAAAAAAAAGAATAAAAATTGGGGCAAATGATGCCTAGGCATCAAGCAATAGATAGAAAGGAACTGAAATTTTCAAAAATATAGAGAGAAATGAGTGTTTTTGAAATAATTAGCCAAGAAGAGGCAATTAATAACAGGTAACTTGGATAGCACTTAGTATATACCCTGTGCTGACCATACTTTACACATCTTACCTAATTTAATCCTCAAAACATAGGCCTACAGGTAGATACTACTGTTACCTCTATTTCACAGATGAGGAACAGAGACCTGGAGAGATAATTTGCCCCAGGCTACTCTCAGAGTCTAGATTAGAACTCAGGAGTAGAGATTTTAGAGCCACACTGCCTAACCACTCCATTCCACTCTAGTGTAATGTATAGCTAAACTATTTAGTTCCTTTTGGTAACATTTGTGTTTTTGTAAGGATCATTATTTAGGGGTAGAGTTGTTAAAGTATTTCTTTTTGCTCTAAATGTACCTCTAAAGAAAACTTCCACAAACAATAATTTTGAAGATTTTTAATGCATGAAAAGAACATCTCAGAAACAGAACAGATATTGACTTATTAACGATGAAGCACTATATAAAGGAGCCCCTTCCCCACTTAGTAAATAGGAATATAGTGTAAATAGACATGAAACAAGGTGAGCACTTTAGGATTAAATGCAAACCCTAAAGTTGTGTACAACATTCATATATGGCTTATTATCTCATAGCAACAATATTCTCATAATGATGTATAGGACATTGATACTCACTGGTAAGATGCTTTTGACTCAAAACAAAAATGCTGAAGAGGTAGTTTTGCCAATGCAAGGTGAGAAAAAATGCTTTACCTTGCTTTTTTTTTCCTTAAACATCTGTACCATTTTTTTTGTTTTAATTTTCATCTGAATTAGCCCGGAAGATAATGATGCTTTTATAGAAGAAGCCAATTCAAAGCTCTCTGAGAGCTGATTTCCTCAAGTATATGATGATGTTTTTGAAACAACTGCTCCAAAAGTCCCCAGGGAAGTCTCCATCGTGTTCTTCTGTCTTGGAGAGGATACGGATCTGGCTCAAAGGAGACCTGTTAAGATCTGAGCAGCAGTTACAGGAATTCATACTGTTTTCTTCTCAAATTCTATGCATGGTCTCACGATGGTAATTTCTACAGTGACCCAAGAATATTGGTAGGTACCCTGTCCTGGTAAGTCAGGGATGGTTTTAGATAAATATATATATATATATATTGAAGCCTGAAGCAAAAGTTCGAAATTATCTCTAGCCTCTGAAACTGCATGATGAGTACTAGAAGGGACTGCATGTAATTCCTTGCGTTTTCAATTGTGTTTCATAAAGTCATCACCTCTTAGACGTAAAGGTAGTTTTAGTTTCTGCCTGACACATGCTGCTTTATCTGTAGGAGGAGAGCTGGAGTGGGGAAGTTCTACTGATATTCAGATTCTTTGACACTGGTCATTTGAGCCTATGTACAAACTAGCTTATCCTATTCTTACAATGAGAAATAAGCCCTCCAAGAAAAGTTACATTTCAAGGGACAACAAAACATCCGTCAATTCGCACAACTAGAAGTCATTTACTGGACGATGGTTAGGAACATCTAGAAACAAAGTGACATAATATTAATCAGGTATGACTTGTTACAGGAAAGAAGGCATAAATATACAGTAAGAGGTTTATCGATGGCCCCACAGATTATGTACATGTTGGAGCTGATGTGATACTGAGCAGGAATCCCTGGAGCATACCCCCAGCTAAAAGCAGATATCCACATTTATCCTTGCAAATACACAACGTGAGAAATCAAGGTCACAGGTGAAATAGCACTTTGCCTGTGGAGTGTCTTCTTTCCCATAAATATGCACAAGTCTGTTCTCCAGTGGTGGTCTGGGGCCTCACGGCCATTGCCTCTCCATGGTGCCACGTTCCCTCCGTGCATGTGGAGCCGAGGCACATGCTGGACACCCACTCCCTCTTCCACCGATTCAGGCCGTGAGCTCCTGCCTTCACAGTCTCCAAATGCAAATTGAAGCATAAATAACAGAGACCACGCTCGTGGCTCCTCCTTTCACAACATTACCGGGAACAAATACTGGTCAAGGCAGCATAAACGCCACACACCAGTGTCCAGGCGGGGAGAGTAGCTTTGTGCACTTTTGCAAAAACAAAAATCCCCCAAAATCTAACCTACATGTCTCCTATTTTACTGATGAGCTCTGTCTGTAGCTAGGAAGACACTGTGTTGCTCCTGGGCTCTTTCTATCAGCTTCCTCTTCTTTTTCTTGTTCTTCTCCTTTGCCTTTGGGGCTCTCTTTCCTACAATGAGGGAAAGAGAAAGAAATGAAGACATGTCAGAAAAGGCTCTTTCTCTAGGAAAGAAAACACAAAACATTAAGAGCTTTACACAAAGCCCATCTGGAAAACATCACCTATGGAAAAAGCAGCCTCAAAGAGAAAATTGTTCACATTAATTTTGACGGAATAATAATAATTTACTAAATTGGATATGCTGTCTAAAACAGAGACTGATCTTCCTGTTATAGGGAACTGGCATATTTAAAAACCTCCCAGCGGCCTGATCAGTCTTGCAAATATCATCCTGCCACAAAAATTCCATTTATCCCCTCCGACTGCTAACAATGCTACCCTTTACTAGACATCTTTACATCTTTCTACTGCTCCACAGGTCAGTGGGGCGAAAGAAAATAAGCATCTATCTACAGTAAATATACCAGAAGTTTCAAACTCCCTTTTCCCTGCCCCCCTGGGAGAAAAAAATGTCTTGCTTTTAACATTATTCCCTCCCTGTTCTCCAAAGGCTGGTGTATGAAATGACATAGGTGAAATACTTTCTTCTTTTCTATAAAAATTCATGGGGACATCACTCCTTATGTGGCTATGGCTTCTTCTACAAATCCCCTGGAATAAGTTATTCTTATTACGGCGAACAAGAAAAATGCTCGTGTCTGAAAAACTGATGACATGTGTCTTACAACCAGAAGATCACCCACCACATAATCCTATTTCTCCTCTTTGCCTTCACAACCAGGAAGCCCAGACTGTGAGCTAAAGGGGTGAGGTTTGTCTGCATCAGGAGTTTTTGCATCTGGTCTCCCTTTGCCTCTGCTGTATTTTACTTCTTACATCTTGTAGTCATGGTTTATAGTTTTTACAAGGTCTCAGCTTTTCTTTGCAAGCATGTATACTTAAGAATGTGAGAGCAAAGAATAGCAGGCATTTATTTGTGTTAGGTCCATTTCCCTCTTTGGTTCTAAACACATAGGAATCATGGAGGTTTTAAAACAGTAAAGAGCATCAAGGGCACCTGTATTTTGCAGAAATGAAGTCATTACAATATACCCTCAGTACAGAAAGATTTTTCCCTCAACAGACTAGTGTTTTAACAGTATAGTCCTGCAAAACTTTTCTCTTCCTGTGTAGTAATCCGTACCACAAATAGGACATTCACTTCCAATGCATGCTTTCCAACCTTCCCACCCTTCATTACAGGGCCATATCTGGTCAGCTGTTCAGTCTAGACAATGGAGGTGGCAGCTAATGTAAGAAATGTGAAAGAAACAGGCCAGAAGTTAGGGAGATAGACCCATGCCTTAGGAAATCAGTAACACTAGATTACAGAAGGCTAGGAGATTTCTAAATAAGGGAGATGTTTCTCATATATTATCTTATTTGAGCATGGAAAACAGTCACATGATTGGCACATAGTTGATATTCGGTGTGTGTGGAGTAAAACTTTATCACAACATAAAGAATAACTTATTTTTAATAGGACACTACAGTAAAATAATCAGAATATGATCATGCCCTCACATTAAATTATTAAAGTCCTTGAAGTTATTTTCTGGTTCTTATTAAATTCTGGCATTAATGTTATAATGGCAGCTTGCCATCTTTAAACATAGTTAATCCTACCCAGTGAAACCTTAGTCCAAACCATCATTAATCAAAGAAGCTGTAAAGTTACAACTACTTTAGTAACATTATATCTAATGATGAGACACACCTAATGAGGTCAGAGAGATTAAATACTTAACATAAAATTATATATTTAAAAAGAAGCATCAATTATTTTTTTCTAAACAAAAACCTTAGTTAAAATCATTGCTGACTACATTGTAAAAATGAGCTCATATTTGATTTATTTAAAGCCTAGAGTTTCTTTTAAAGGCAAATTGAAATTGAGTACATGGAAAAATAATTTTACTAGATTTTTAAATGTGTTAAGATAAAAATATATTGAGTATTTGTTAAATCTTTTCACATTCACCATTTTAATTTTTCATATGAAAAATGTGTACTGCTTTCACTAACAGAAGATCTATACTGAATGACTGGAAATTCTTATTTTAAGAGAGGGTCAATTTCATGCCACTTACCTAATAAATCATTCTGATGTAATTGTCAATATTGAATGGTCTTTGGGTTTGCTGGCTGATATAAACATTGTGTGATAGGAAAGTTAACTCACTATTTGCATAAAATAGTTCATAGCGTGGCCAAAATTTCAGCAATGCTTCTGAAAACTTATATAAGTTTTCAAACTGCACAATTATTCCATTGGCGATAAGTTATATAGTACTGGTTCCAAATAACCAAGTTCCAAATAACTTGGGAGACCTAGTTACAACCCTAAAAATTTTCCTCAAAAGTCTCTTTTGAATGACACCTCTGTACTTTTGGTTCATTGCTTGGTTTTCTTTTTGGTCAGCCCCATTTCTCATGTAGGATATATCGCAAATACCAAAGAATTAAGATGGTTAGCCAAGATTTGACCACGGATAGGCCTAAATTAACTGAAAATATTTTGTGGTCCAAAGTAGGCTGTTTTGACTTAAAGTCGAACTCGAATAAAAAAAATATTAAAATATAACCTAACCTAAGGTATAAAAAAGGTCTTGTACATATTTTCTTCTGAACTCTAACTGATAAGACTAAAGCTAACTGAAAATATATATCCCTGTTTTTATCTATATATTTGAAAATAAGTTATATTGGACATACAAGCATGCTAATTTATATTTCCTCCTTTTTAGACTTGGAGAATGCCTTGTACACTTTCAAATGAGTTTACATGCTTAAGCACGTTCACCCTGTACAGGAAGCATCTAAAGGCAAGTATGATGCCAGTCACCCAAATTCAACTCATGCATTTGACTTTTAGTTCATGAACAACCACCTGGAAAATACACTGCCCAAGATCAGCACAGAAAGGCTGGAGTTTTATGAGGAGATTGTCAACCTCTAGGTATGTCCAGCTCTAATGACAAATTCTGCATATCTTTGTCCTGAGTGCTTTAAGAATACAGTGGCCTTAAACAGACACATGAAGATACTCAAAATCGCTTATCAGGTAAATACAAATCAAAACCACATGAGAGACCACTTCACACCTCTCAGAATGGCTAAAATTAACAACTCAGGTGAGGCTGTGGAGAAAGGGGAACCTCTTGCACTGTTGGTGGGAATGCAAAACTGGTGCAGCCACTCCAGAAATCAGTGTGAAGGTTCCTCAAAAAATTAAAAATACAACTACCGGGGCGCCTGGGTGGCGCAGTTGGTAAAGCGTCCGACTTCAGCCAGGTCACGATCTCACAGTCCGTGAGTTCGAGCCCTGTGTCAGGCTCTGGGCTGATGGCCCGGAGCCTGGAGCCTGTTTCCGATTCTGTGTCTCCCTCTCTCTCTCTGCCCCTCCCCCGTTCATGCTCTGTCTCTCTCTGTCCCAAAAATAAATAAACGTTGAAAAAAAAAATTTTTTTAAATAAATAAATAAAAATACAACTACCTATGACCCATCAAATTACACTACTAGGAATTTATCCAAAGGATAGAAAAGTGCTGATCTGAAGAGGCACATGAACCCTCATGTTTATAGCAGCTCTATCAACAATAGCCAAAGTATAGAAAGAGCCCAAATGTCCATCAACTGATGAATGGATTAAGAAGATGTGGGGTGGTGTGTGTGTGTATACACACACACAATGGAATACTACTTGGCAATGAAAAATAATGAAATCTTGCCATTTGCAACAACATGGATGGAACTGGAGGGTATTATGCTAAGTGAAATAAGTTAGAGAAAGATATCATATGATTTCACTCATATGTAGAACTTGAGAAACTTAACAGATGAACATAGGGGAAGAGAAGGAAAAATAAGATAAAAACAGAGAGGCAAACCATAAGAGACTTTTAAATACATAGACCTGAGGGTTTATGGAGGTGGGTTAAATGGGTGATGGAAATTAAGGAGGGAACTTTTCAGGATGAGCACCAGTTGTCATATATAAGAAATGAATCACTGAGTTCTACTCCTGAAGCCAAGATTACATGGTATGCTAACTAGAGAATAAAAAAATAAAAAATAAATAAAAATACAGTGGCCTTGATAAATCACTATCCATTGAATCTCTTCAGCCCTGTCTGGCTGGCTAGATGCAGAAGACTGGCTAGATATTTTAGTTGTTAAGGAAAGCAATGGGGTTTAATACAGAAAGGCAGAACGAAGAAGAGCTGGTAGGTAAGTATGGTCTGTAACTGAGATAGCCTCACACTTGTGACTCCCAGTTTTTACATTTACAGAATGAAGATGCCATGATCCTCTTTCATCAGAGAGTTGTCTAAAATATCACAAGATCATCATCAAAATGAAGTTAGAACAATACCATCAAAACCACGCTCTAACCAACATAATTACATTGACTTGCACACATGTGGAAATGGTCCAACAGGATAACCTATCGACTCTTCTACAGAGAAAGGTGAACAGCCCCTTATGGAAATACTCCTAACGTCCAGCTGTAGATTACTGCTATTAGAATCAGAAATAGGGTAGATTCTTTTCAACCAAGATATCAGGCAGACTCACAAATTGCATGAAGCTGTGAAAATACTGACTCCACTGCCTGGCAGACATGAATTTCATTCCTTCATAAACCCCAAAGTTGAGGAAGGTCTTCAAAAGGTTTTTCCTTCACTAGGTTTAGGCAATAGTTTTTCCTAATTGGAGCAATGGTTCTTGTACATCCCCAGGAAGGCTACAAAGGTTGCCTAGGATTTCTATAAAGGTGATTAAGTGTTTTGAGGAAGACTTTCTAATTGTAATGCAATGAAAGAAAAGTGAAGAAAAAATTCAGTAGCTTTGACTATGAAAAAAATAACAAAAATCTCCCCTTTTATCTCTACACACACACACAGGAAAGTAAGTAACAATTATGACAAATGTATTTCTACTCTTAGATCCATAATTGTGACAAAAGTGATCATCTGAAACCAGGACGAATTCCTATTAAATTTTA